GACGTTCGTAGCTGTAACCTGAACAGAAAAGCTGAATTCAGCATTTATTTATAACTAAGAATAAATCAAATGGTTTTCAAGTTTGCCATTATGAAGAATGAGAATAATTACTAATTAATTCATGCCATTAAGAACAATTAATAGTAAGTCAATGAACAATAACCCCTCATGTTCACTCTCACTCACCTCTGTACTCCATGTAGTCCTGCAGAATATCGAGCATCCTCGTCATCTGAGAGAACAGCAGGATCCGATGGCCCCTTCAACCACAGATATGAAAACACAAATATTGTAAGACTCAATTTAAAGATGAATATGTGACTTACAATATCACAGCATTACAGCAATGCCGCACTAAACCACCAGGTGGAGCCAAATAACACATCAGCAAACCCTTTGTGGAGGAATGTCAGCATGCTGTCCAAAAGACAAAGTTTTCCACTGGCTTCAATGAGATGTTCCCCCATCTCAAATGGCTCTGGCTCAACTCCTATCCAAGAAACAGACACACAAACATAGAATGTAATGGAAGCGTCTTTATCCTATCCCACTGAAAACACACCTACGCCTCAGGTCTTTCTTTTAGCAGAGAGAACTAAAGCCAGTCTTTTTTACATCATCACTCTGCACCTCTCACCGTCAAACAGATAAGGGTGGTCAACGCACTTCCTCAGGTTCATCAAGATGTTCAGCAACCGAGTTTTGCTGCCTTGGTCATTTCCAAAAGCCTCTGAAAGCAGAGTTTTAGAAGCAGATTGAATTTACAAATGACTGATGCCACTAAACAGATACTATTAGAACTATTACTTCCACTTGGCACCTTTAAAAACAGCCTACAAAGTGGAAAAAGCCAAAATCAAACAACAACAAAATCAGTGTAAAGTTATAAGACATGAAACAAGGACATAAGGATATAACAAAATGCCTTTGTTATGAGTTTTTGGTGGTTCTCAAATGTAACTTAACACCCGAGTGTTTCTTAGATGTAGACTAGTTGGTTAGTCTCATTTTTGTTCCTCGTTTAGTTGACTAAGAAATTAGTTGCCAGGAACATCCCTAGTAAAACTAGTAAACTAATAATAAAAGCTATGAAGCAACCATGAGAGATCAGAATATTCGTGCCTTGGGGGGCCTTGATCACCTTCAGGTTTATTCATCGACTTTGGAACAGACAAAAAAATAGCACATTTCTCCTACACAGCTGGAGACCAGACCCAGAAGTTCTTTAAGGTGATGAGTAAAACCTTAAAACCAACTCTAAAATAGAGAGAACTGATAGAGAGAAGTCAGGATTTAGTGTCTGTTATGCCAACTGTAAAAATCAGTGATAAGCTGAGCTGGTGCTTTCTTGCTAATGCTATAAGTAAAGAGGCAGGGTAAGTACTGCAGAGAAAATGCATTTATAAATGACACAGCACACCATAGCACCCAAGTCTCACCCAGATCCTTCATCAGAACAGCTTTGTAGTATTTCTTCTGCAGAGCGGACATGCCGTGATAAACCACCAGCTCGGTTTTCTTGGGCAGATCGACGGCCACCTGAGACTTGACTCTACGGAGCAGGAAGGGCTCCAGGATGCTTTGGAGCTCAGCAGCTATAAAAGTAATAAGATTCATGGTTAGCGTTCCTACAGTGCATTACTGTACTCCACTTTTTCGTGACCAATATTCACCCATTATATTTCAAAACATTTATTTAGATATGGAGAGACGCATGGACTCAGAAATAACACTGAATGTAAGCTATGCTTTGTTATGCTATAATTATGTATCGTACCCAACGCAGGCTGACTTTGTACATCAGAGTAAGAGTTGACAAAGCTGTCTGTGTCTTCTGGTATAAAGATGCTGGGCTGGATGAAGCTCAGCAGGGAGTAGAGCTCCTGCAGGTTGTTCTGAATGGGAGTCCCTGTCAGCAAGACTCTGAATCCCACGAAAAACTACAAGAGAAGAACACAAACAAACTGATTTAAGAGGTCAAGGGAAAGACAATGAAGAAATCTGCCCAAACCAGGTGTTGCTCAGTACCTCTGTCAAAGTTTTGTGCAACAGCGAGTTTTGATTCTTCAACCTGTGAGCTTCATCAACCACAAGCACCTTCCACTTCCACCTGAGGAAGAGATCGGGGAAATATCAGCACATGAAAACTTTGTTCTCAGTGAACAAACCTTTAAAGACCATTATTCTCTTCCTTTTCTTCTGTCACATATAATTTGATACAAAGGTGGATTGCTTATATTAAAAATGGCTCACGTTTAAAAGAATGACCCCTCTCTAATAAGCTCTGTAGATTACTACAGACACACAGGCTTCAGACTAATATTAAAGCTTTGTTTGTGACAGTTTTTTCTAGTCTTGGTTTTGTAGTGTGGCTAGAATAATATGATCATCTCAGGCATACAGGTCGCTAACCTAGATAACTGCAGTTTAAGCCGATCTTACTGGGTGAAGGCCGGGAAGAGCCGACACAGAGCGATCTCAAAGCAATATCTCTGTTGGTGCTGGTCCTTTTTTCTGTCACCTCTTGCTTAAAACTATATAAACTTGTATTAGGACACCACAGTTAAATTTTCCTCACAGTACATTGCTTCCAGAGTAGTTTATGTAGATCAAGAATAAGTACAAACTCACCGTTTCAAGAATGAAGCATCTTTGAGACACAGCTGGAAATAACAGGTAAAAAAAAATATATATATATATATCAGTTTTAACAAAGGTGAAACCTTATCCTGTTTTGTTTTCACTTAATAGCCTCCGACCTCATATGTAGTGAGAAGAACATGGAAGTCCTGAGAGTTCGCCTCCTGCTGGATCTCTGTCCGCCTTTCTTTGTCTCCTTTGTAAACCAGGACCGTCAGTGAGGGAGCGAAGCTGAAAGCGAGGCACACACAGGTTTACAGACAGCGCTAAAAGCACATTATCAAATGAAATGCAATCACTGATTAATGTAGCTCCACCTTTCCAACTCATTCCTCCAGTTCTCCAGGACAGAGAGTGGGCTCAGCACCAGAAATGGTCCTTTCTTCCTGAGAGCCCCTGACATGTACACCAGCAGAGAGATCGTCTGAAGGGATACATGATGACCAGGACACCGTTAGAACATGTAAATAATAAGCCATATATAAAGCAGCCCCCAAATGGTCAGATTCATGAGTGTGTGACACATAAGGGGAAAACTTCTCATTCAATTGAAGCAAAGTGTGTAATTTGTCTAACAAGCCACTTGGAAACCAAGAATCTCTCTTCAGAGAAACATTGCTTAACTTTGAAGAGCACTGGCTCTGATCCAGTGTATGCTAATGTTATAAAGGTGTATGCCTATGGAGTAGAAAAACTGCATTAAAATAAATGTAATTATAGTAATTATACAAATGTCACGTTAGGTCCAAGTGACAGAAAAGTGCTATAAAAAATATAACGAAAGGCACAATTGATATGTCACATGGCACTGAGGCTTTTTAGAATCAACTTCTGTGCACCCCCAGTGTAACAGATGCTCCAAGCCTCACCGCCTATATAAAAACTGTCCAGCCATGCCAGGGCTCTGGATTACAGGTAAACAGATGATGTCATACCTGGCAGGTTTTACCCAAACCCATCTCGTCTCCTAAGATGCATCCCTGCTGGTTCTTCAGGCACTGAGTTAACCAGTGCACCCCGTCCAGCTGGTAGGGTCTCAGCTGTATCCCTGTGAGGAGAAAGATCATCACCGCTGGAGCACGTTTAATATAATCCCTGGAAATTACATATAGGACGGCGCTGAAAGTGGATTAATCTGCTCTAAGTGCGTTTAGTTTGTATCCACAGAAAACGCCATGTCACTGTGAATGAGTGAAGACAGCCTGAAGTTTGTATGTACTTTGCAGGTCAGTCGTCCAGGTTAAAAATAGCCTTTCTACCTCTCAATCCCCATTTCTTCAGGTCACTTTGAGCAACATCCGCCTTCTTTTTCTCCGCGATGCTGTTTTTTATTCTCACCAAAATGTCCGACATGTTTGCTGACCGGCAGGACTACAATTTATACGAAAGACGACTTTATCGCAGACGTGCGAGTTCCCACTGTTGTTTTCATGCAGTTTATGCTTCCTGACTGGGTCACGTGACGCTACGGAAAGGCGTGCGGTTTTTTTAAACTTCGCCAAAAGTTTGTTTTCTTTCTTGAGCAACGCTCATTTCTTTATATTTTGCTAGGAAAACGGGAAATATATGCAAACATAAATGCAACTACAGAATATAAGGGGAAAACGGTTTTTAAATTCTAGAAACGATTAAGAATTTGCACATTCTACAAACTTTGGCTTTTTGTGACAGGTCGCTAGTAACTAAGTGCCTGATAATAAAATTTAATGGTGCTTTCTTTGCTAGAAGTCACACTGGTTAATCTCTGAAGCCCGGGGTCTTTTTTATGCTTGAATTACTCATGACCTCAGAAAACAAAAGACATTCCTCTTTAAATGGACGGGTTCGAGGTCTGGACTGAAAATGAGCGAAAAGGAAGCCAATGTCCAACAAAAAGACTTTGAAATTACAAAAAAGGCTCCCTAGAAACAAAATAATAAGAAAGGGTCCTAAAAGCTCCACAAATAGATGTAAAAATAAGTGCTTCGAGTTTTAACGTGAAACAGATTTTCTGACAGTTTAGTTCTGAAAACAGAAACAAGAACTAAAAATATAAACTTATACTAAATGAGAGATAATTCCAGATAACTAAAAATTCACCATTTAAAAAAAATGCATTTTGCATATTATAATATTAACAGGACCTGTTCATACCCTGATTAACTATTTGAGCTTCACATTCAAATACCAACACAATTTAAGACCATAAGAACTTTTAATAAAAATAGATTTTTTCTGAGCAAGATGAAAACAAAAATCAACAACAACAAATTTAAAAAGTTTAAAATACTGATTTATTACAGATATTTACACATATTACAAACAAAGTCTACAATCATTATAAACTGGTTAAATTTGAGTGGTCACCAAAAATTAATCAATCAATCAATGAAGCACACAACTGAGAAAGATAAATAGAAAATTTGCTTCTTTTTCACCTATAAACAAATGTCTGAGCAGCAGGAAGGGCCAGAGACTCTCTAAAGGAGCCAATTTTAGCAACTTCAGTAAGAGACCTGCCCCATTCTTCAACACTTCATCCAAGCTGAACCTTCACCGCAAACACACATGGCCTATTTCATGCACATGGCCAGCATCCTCATGATTGCTTCTCTGGAAGGTAAAGAACATAAACCAGACATTTAGGCTTTGAACACCACTTTTTTTCTGATTATTTATACAGAAGATTTGAATAAATGGAGCAAAATCTACAGACCTCACACATGGGATGTATGACAAGCTGTACCTGAAAACACACACATTTTATGTAACAAAAAACAATTTAAGACTGAAAAAAAAATTAATTAGATATGTAGAGACTCACCAGGTAAATGACAAGACTTGCAAGATAACAAACAACAAAGCAAGTCCAAAGTTCTTCCACTGTGAGAAAAAAAGAGAGAGATTGGGATCAAACACTGGCATTAATCCAACAGATAAACAGATCAAGTTAGAAGTGATCATAAGTATTTTTTGGAGGCTCACTCACCCAGAAAGCCGCACAGAGAGTCAGAACGAGACAAGTCTAAAGCAATGACAGAGAGACTTATAGCTTTAATTTGAAGGGTTTTAACAAAAGTCTGTGTAAACTGTTTTTGAAGTACAGCTATTTTTTGGACACAGACCCTCATTTTTAGGCTCTCACATTAACTGTACAAACTAACGTAGTTGTAAATATAAGGATTGTTTAATACTTTGATAAAAATCATTGACTGCTTAAAGTCTAGAAACCATGGATATTACCAAATGTCTTGCTCTGCTAGACCTTTACTGCTGCTGCCTTTATTTACTCCTAGTTTGTGAGTCTTTCTGCATTCAGTTATGTAGTTAATAACTGAAAAGCATGCTCTATTGATTTTCTCATTTCTTTTCCTGAGAAACTGTTGGGTTAGTGTGCAGTTTTCTTTGGGTCTATTTGCACTGTGAAGTGCAGTCTGGTCAGTTTATACCCCTGTACACTTCACAGGTCATCCCGCAACTTCTATCAACAGTCACATCATCAATAAACACCAGTAACCAAGTTGCACTAGCAGCCATACATGCCCATGCAATAACATCGCCTCCATCATGTTTTACAGATAATGTGGTACACTTCAGATCATGAGCAGTTTCTCTCCTTCTTTTCCTTTCCATTCATTCTGGTACAAGGTCATCCTGGTTTCATCTGTCTTATATTTTCTGTGGTCTTCCCTTAGGCTTTTTGGTTTTGCTGAGCGAGTCAGTGCATACCTTCTTTTTATGACTCTACCAGTTTGCTCATTTGGCTATCCCTAAAGTTTTTAGTTTCTATCTGATGTTGTTTTGTTTCAGCCCAGTGATGACCTCCCTCACTTGCACTAACATCTCTTAGGGCCTGTTAGTTAACTATAATACCCTTGCTTCCAGTTGTATATGTCAGAACTGCAAAGTATGATGCTTGGGCATTACATAGGTGACGTGGCCATGCTCATAACCACATTAAAGCTGAGAAAATCTTCAGATCTACAACACAGGTGTCACATTAGTCTCTGATTTAATTATTTACCTACATGTAGTTCAAATATTTGCATACTGAGCCTTGCACTGAAAGAAAGAGGATGGTAACCTAATTGCACCTGCTGTGGGACATTCTGAGAGCAAATCTTCCATCACAGCAAATCTTGTAGTTTTAAAGAGAGACGTTTGCACATCAGGGTCTGATTTTTGTCAGTCCATCCACAACCAAGTTTTCTGAACTCTAGCTTGGTGTTGTCATGCAATCCTCTAAGCAGAAAGCCGTGTTACGCAATCCTTTCACCTTTAACCAGCTCTTGAACTCTTAAGGAAAACAGATTTTTTTTGCAATGAATCTAAATTTACTGAACTCAGTCCACTCATGTTTGTGTAACATGTTCTGTCTTTTGGGGGTTGATTTTTTATTTTTATTTTTTGCACTTACCAACATAAGGGTAGTAGCCAGCGCTCTTGTTTTGTCACACATCCTTTTCAGCTGATTCATTGGGCCCATCAGAAACATTGTGCTATTGGACACAGTGAAATGTGCAAGAAAGAAAAGCATGTATTAAGTGTGTAAAACATGCAAAATAAGCTTCCCATTTCAAGGAATTTTTTTCATCACTAACCTGCACAGAGCACATATGTTGCCAAATGTGTAAAAGACAATAAAGAGAGTGATCCCAATCTTGGGGAGGAAGAGCACACACACTCCCTGCAAGACACACGTGAATGCAGGTGGATCACACGTCATGTTTTATAAGCCTCACTTTAAGGAGGGACTAGGCAGTGTCGCCAAATGAAAGAGCATCACATCTTCAGCATTCCTCAGAGCAAGAAGAACCAGTAGGGCAACACCAGCTTTCTCTGAGCTCTTCCTCGTTGTGGAGAGCGACTGAATATTGTCGTAGAAAAAACAAAAACAAAAAACACAGAAATTAAATTCTTACCAGAACTGTGCATGCAGCTCCCACCACGAAGCAGGCGATGAATCCCTTTATACGTGTGCCCCAGCCTAAAGTCGAAGCTTGGTTCATTTGCTGCATTAGTAGAGATTGAATAAACGATCGATTAATGATCCAGCTGAGATTACTAGCCACAACAGTGAAAGATGGGATTAAGGCTTTACCTGTATAATGTTCCGGTCATCTCTGCGCGCCTCCTCACCGCTCAGAACCGACTTTAATTTATCCATGCCCGAGGAGCTTTAAAATTCGGCTTAATTGGTGAAGAATTACAGTTGCTTCCTGAACTGATAGGAACTTTGCCGGGTTTTCTCAGATCTGTGTGAATGGACAACAGCGTCACATGCCAGCAGAGGGAGAGCCGGATGAGCTGCCAGTACCTTACCTGGCCAGGTGGGTCACTTCATCGTCACACCTGAACCGGAACAGCAGCAAAGACGTCTCACTCTGATCTTTTTTTCCCCAGACGTGACTCAGTGTTAGAAAAATTTAAACGCACCACCCAATACAGCCATGAGTGAACAAGAGGGTCCAGACACCACTTTTATTTTATTTTTTTCGGAGATAATAAGTTTTCTCTTAAAACTGTAAAAATAACTATACAAGTTAAATAATTGTTTTGATTCCCCGGGGAATCAAAACAAAGTGGTTTGGTCCATCATATATAATTCACTAGCTTCTTTACTTTGTAAAGCTGGGCTTAAAACAATTTATTTCTACTAGTTAGTGCTAGAAATAAATTGTTACACCTCTCTTGCATTTCTGAATGAATTGATAGAAATAATCAAATAAAGCACCTTTTGCGTTTTTTGTAGTATTTTAACCGAACTGCTTATCATACCTCCATTAAATGTGCAAAGACTGTCACGCAGAGGCCCACTTTTTTCAAGACCGAGTGTTTAATCTTGTCAAAACAGAACATCTTTGTTTATCCCTCTTGTCAACAGATGTTTTGTGTTGCCCTGCCCTGACAAAAATAAATCTGCACAAGCACTTTATTAGGACTGATCATTTGGTATTAATGTGATTGTGTTCTAAAAATCAGGGGTTCTCAGGCATTTTAGGGCTAGTAGTAGTCTTAGTATTTGAACTATTAGACACTACTGAAACTTTAATCCTGGAAGTTTTCAACCAGCTCAGACAGGGGAAACTTTATGTTCTACAATCTTAACAACAAGAGAATGGGGCTGAGAGCAAAGGACACAGTAACTTCCCTTTATTGGTAGAAACCACATCCTTTGCTGTCACCTTTATAATAATTTGTCGCAAATTAATTGATCATTTCAATGACCCTGTCTGAGAGCCACTGATAGATGATGGTGATTATGGATACATGAATAAAGAGAACCAACTTTAAAACATATAAAAAAGTAAAATTTGATCATAGAGGCTACCATAAATTCTGTATTGAGTAGCACATTGTAAACACTTACATACTAGCTATAATGTTATGCAAGGTGTGAAGGAAATGATAGGAATTAAATAAAATAAAAAAAAATTTACTGTTTGAACAATTTTATTTTTATTTTTATAGTTTGACACTTGGTTTGAGTCACTTGCTAACATGAAACAATATAAAATGTACAACTAGCGCTTTCAAGTAATACACATGATGATGCAGTGACGTTTTCACCACAAAATAGCACTACTGAATACCAAACTGTGGAAGAAGTTTAGCAAGTCAAAAGTAAAGCATGAAATCCATTAAAAGCTTTTCATTTATATTGAATGCGCAAAGTAGTAACAAAGATATGACAGAGTATATGAAAATTATATTGCTGTAAAATAAATAAGAGCAGCTTGTGACTGCATACCTCCACTAAGGTAGGTAATCCCCTCCACACCTTGCATGAACCGACTCTCTGCATCCAGATTAATTTATATTTTCACAAAAGATGTTATCTTTTGATATTTATTATTAAAACTGTATTTTGTAGCTGTGATGTTGTGAAACATCCAGTCTTGTTCTCTTGCAATGGTAAATGATTCAAAACCTTCTGGATCCAGGTGGCGATGCACATATTTTTATAGTTTATATATACAGTCACAAATTTTGCCAAGCCACAAGAGTTCTGTCCAGTAATCCTGCTGAAAAAGAAACTGAACAAATCATAAAGCTTCTCTGGAGGAGGTAATAACAAAAGTATGTTTAAAACGTTGTACAGCTGGTTAATTAAGGCAGAGGTAGAGACGCATTTCTAAGGTTAAGGTTCCGTATCCACATCAGTTTCCACATCTGTGTGCCTTGCTTCTTATTCTGCTCCTGGAAATTTGAGCGTTTTATCCCTGATTGTTCTATAATGTTCATGAGCCACAACGTAGATGCACAACAGTCTTCCTCACATAAGCTCATCCTCAGACTCTGGATCTCGCTCTCTTGCCTTCAGAAGTCCCATTTCCACTGGAGGAGTCTTCTTCAGTCTGGAGCGAACCGCACTTCAAGAGGAAAAGAACAGCAAACACGAGAATCACACATAATGTAAACTGTGCAGGTCTCCAGGATAAATAAACAAGTGTCTATCAGATATAGAAAAATACAGTACATTTCTGTCCCATAGGTATGCACTAGGGCTAATGATTGGAACTAAAATTAAATGTATAACTTTTGAAATCCAAAGGTTTTGTTTTTGTTTGTTTTTTTTTAATTGATGTGTTACAGTGGTCCCTCGCTATATTGCGGTTCACTTTTCGCGGCCTCGCTGTTTTGCGGATTTTTTCGGGGGTGCAATTTTTCATTTATTTATTTTTTTAAACAGCGCATTGTGTTCTGCGTCCTGATCGGCTATAGACCATTTTCAATCAATCTCGTGCTGTGTCTTTTATACAGTACAGAATTCGTTCAGCCTGTCAAATCTACATAAATCTTCGCTAGCAGAAGACAACAAACACAACAGTGTCTACGTCAAAGGATTATAAGGAGCATTAAGTAAACCAAACAGTCAGATAAGTCAAACGTCACTCAATTCCTTCTTCTTGCTTCCTCTACTTCCGTATCATTAATTCATTAATGTTGAATTGTCTCGCAGCTGCTCTATTCACATGTTCTGGACTTGAAAACAGGGTTTGATCTTTGGTTTCATTCTATAATACTGGACTTATTTTTCTACGAAGGTTTGAACTTTGAGAGTGTTTAAACAAGAGAGAAGCGCGTCAAAATGTCGATGCCTGTCTGAGAAAAGTGTATAAAGTGTGTAGTGAGGTTTTTTTTACAGCCTTAAAACATCTATAATAATTGTAAAAAATAAAGTTCCCTACTTCGCGGATTTCACCTTTCGTGGGTTATTTTGCGATAAACGAGGGAACACTGTTTTTTAAATCTACATTCTTGAGCAGCAAAAACACATTTATTACACATTTTCTCTCTTGGATTTTATGGTGAAATAGTGGCAAAAACCAAATTTAATTAAATATGAATCAGAGGTTTGTTCTCCTTGTATCTGGTTATATCTGCACCTATGGCCAATTTAAAGCCTCATGTGCTAAATAAGACAAAAAAAAATGCATTTCCAATTCTTTGAATATATCTAAATCACAATGGGATGTCTTATTGGATTGTCTTTTGTGGAGCAGGTTCTTACCAGCTGACGATGCAATAGAGCACGCTCACTATAAGCATGGCGAAGGCGAGGTGCCAGGAGTAACACATGGTAATGAACATCATATTGTTGGGATCTTTCAAGTCCCACTCGGGGCCGCGGGGCGGGTACAGCACAAAACCAACCTGTGGTTTAGAGGAGAAAACATTGGGAGTAACTATAAATCAGCAAAACATAAACATCTGCTCATAAAGCCACATTCAGATTTACCTCCCAGAACCAGGTCCCCTGAACCACCGTTAGCGTGCACCGCAGCAGCTCCAGAATGATGTTGCCTCGGTGAAAGATCTCCAGGAAGGCAACAAGAGTCTCTCCAAAGACCGCGTACAGAAGGAGCAGATGCACGTGGACATCCAGCATGCTCCTGCCATGGAGGTGGTAGAGAAAAAGAAATCCTGCAGAGAACAAAGAGCTGGTAATGTAGGTAAATGTGTTTGTCTTGATCAGTTAAACTCCATCTAAACTTCAAATATTTATCCCAAGCCATCGCCACAGATTGTCTTAAATTCAAACAGTGCGAAAATAATTGACTCAAAATGCTGTAAAAATGCAGAAAGTCCTATCTGTGCTTGGTTTAAATTAGGCTTAATTAACCCCACAGGGTACACTTAAAATGACCTTTGAATGGGAGGAACTCAATTTGATTAACAAGAAATGTATTTATACAAGTTTATTGGAAAATGTACAGACAGGCAACAAGTTGTAAATAAAAACCTGAATTAAAAAAAAAAAGATCAGAGTATGAAAGTTGGTCTGTTGTATGGGAACATACGGCAGAAGCAGTGAAAACAGTCCATCTACAATTACAGCGATGGATAATAAAGGTGGATATAATGGCGCACATTCATAAACCCCTCAATATAAAGCTTGGCCAAACACTAATGGAGGATTTTTTTGTGTTTTAGATGTAAGACTATCTTCGAAAATAGTATTGTTTACTCGAGACTTTGAAGGATCCAAGGATTAAACTGATTAACTTATTAGTAAGCGATCTGCCCTGAAGCACTGGCTTGAAATAAAAAGGATATCAAAGGATCTCAAAGACAATGATTACATTTTATTCTTCTTACCTTCATTAAAGAAAGCAATTGCCAGCATTAACCGATCCAGTGCCAGTGGTGCCGCTTCTGTGGTGTGGATAATCAGAGACACTGTTGCAAAGAGCCCAAAGAACAAGTACATGGTGGCGTGGTGCCAGCTGTGCAGATGGTCCCAGTGTTTCTCTACGAAGTCGTACAACTGAAGCTTCGGTCCACCCGATCCAAACTGTTCTGCCAACATCCCTGAAAGCACCACATCAGAGGAAACACGCACATCTCCTTAATTAAAGCCCTGATTTGTCTTGGATTTACTCGAGAAGAGTCTTGCTAGTTATATCTGATATATGGATGCATTAAGAAGCTTTTTGGACACGCTTACCAACAAGGGAGAAAAAGAGTATGACTGAGCTCTCAATGATCTCCAGCCGTCGCTGTGAGGCTCTGCTAGCCAGACGAGTAGAACCAATACCCTTGTTCCTGCGCGTGGCATGCCAAATCGAGTACTTTACCGTCCACCAAATCCCGGCAACAAGGAAGAAGGTCCCAGGGAGAGCGTGGCCTCTGAAGCTGCCCATGATACCTGTCAACACCTAGAGAAACAGATTAGGTACTTCATGGAATTAGAAGAACATATTACACAAACACTTCTTTCCCACTACTAACATGTTTATTTAAATCAGCCAGATATGACTTGAAACAAACAATAATTTAACCTAACTTATCATCTGAAGAGTAGACAAGATCTATTTTTAGCACAACTGGAATAAGTGGATAAAAGAAAAGGGAAAAAAGTGCAACAGTGCCCATAATT